ACCCTGTTTCCACTAAAAATACAAAAATTAGCTGGGCATGGTGGTGTGCGCCTGCAATCCCAGCTACTTGGGAGGCTGAGGCAGGATAATCACTTCAACCCAGGAGGCAGAGGTTGCAATGAGCCAAGATTGTGCCACTGTACTCCAGCCTAGGCAACAGACTAAGACTCCATCTAAAACAAAACAAAACAAAAAATTTAGCCCACTTCAGATTGAGAACAGGGGCAAAGGGAAGATAAGAGACAGCAATTGCCAATTCCAGCTAAATTTGAATTATGCCAGATCATATTAGCATTATCATGAATTTTTACTCTTTATCAGATTATAAGCTAGGTTACTGTAACTAAAACATCACAACACAATGGCTTCAATTTACTTCACTAACAGTCCAGCCAGTTCCGGTTGGCAGAGCACCTCTGCTCCCTAATGTCCTTCCATACTATTGCTCTGCCATTTTCCCTGAGGTATAGTCCTTATCTGCATGGGTAACGCTGGTGCACCTCACTTCCAGCTCAGGAGAGGAAAAACAGGCAGCAAGTAGAAAAGCCGCTTATCTCAGAGTTGTGAGGATCTGTAGTCAAGTTCCATCCATTGCCTCTGTGCACAACCACTGGTCCAAACTTAGTCACATGACCATGCCTTGCTGGAGGTGGGGCTGGGAAACATAGTTGCTGCCTGATAAGCCACATGCGGGAGGAGAGAACAGATTAGGAGAACAAGTGTGCGTCACAAACAATAAATAAATAAGTATTCTAAAATTTTAACTGTTTGCAGCATTAACAAGCTAATCAAATCTTCTTAATCTCCATCAATTTCAGTGTCATAAATAACTTATATGCCAATTGCAAAAGAATCTGAATTAAATGACATGTATTCTTCAACGCTCTTACAAATTTCTCTAGGACTGCCAGCAATTCTCTTGCAAAAATGACTGCACATTGAAAGTTGGTAACACAGCTCTTACCTGAACTCCCACATATGAATTATTGTGAATTCCAAATTAATAACGTTCAATGAGATCTTAATAGAGTTTGGAAATGATAATCAAGGTGGAGGAAAACAGCTTAACAATGAAGACTCCACAAATAACCAAAATTGGGGCAAAATTTGATCACCTTCTAGGGAAGAAAAGGTGATATTTTCTTTCATATATTAATGTAAATGTAAGATTGTATGTATTTTTGGATTTAAAATGAGATTTTTGCACAGCTGCTGTAAATCTAATGGACTTGAGTACATTTTTATAGCCCCACCTTCCACCTAAGTGTGCTCCTTAGGCTGGGATGACGCTGAGGACACTGCATAGGTATGCTGCAATATTAAGAATGCAGGACACTTTGGGAGGCCGAGGTGGGCAGATCACTTGAGGTCAGGAGTTTAAGACCAGCCTGGCCAACACGGCTAAACCCTGTCTCTACTAAAAACACAAAAATTAGCCGGGCGTGGTGGCACACGCCTGTAGTCCCAGCTAATCAGGAGGCTGGGGTATGAGAATCGCTTGAACCCAGAAGGTGGAGGTTGCAGTGAGCCGAGATTGTGCCCCTGCACTCCAGCCTGGGTGACAGAGTGAGACTCTGTCTAAAAAAAAAAAAAAAAAAAATGCAGAACAAGAAATCGTCATCTCTGGCTTCCTTTTTTGTCTCCTTAAAATAGTTACTGAACTACTCTGAGTCTATTTCCTCATCTGTAAAATAGGAATACTATCTATACCCCACAGTAGAGAATCATAAAACGGTACTTTATACTCAGTAAAACACAAATGCCTACTACACAAAGCAGAAAGATTAAATCGACACTGTCCAGTCTGTAGACGGCCAGCAAAGCAGCTAGGGGTTTCTATAACATGCGTGGAAAGGGACAAGATTATATTCTCTCATTTTACGTTCTCTCACTTTTGATCCCAGTCTTGATGTCTCAAGCTAAAGACTGACAAACACTTGCCGGCAGCATCAGGTCCTGCAATGCCTCCCAGGAGGAAAGGCTCCACACAAGTTGCTGGCGGCCAGCTGCAGCAGCCAGCGCTGGCTTGGCACTCACGAAGAACCTTTTTTGTTTTTGTTTTTGAGACGGAGTCTCGCTCTGTCGCCCGGGCTGGAGTGCAGTGGCGCGATCTCGGCTCACTGCAAGCTCCGCCTCCCGGGTTCACGCCATTCTCCTGCCTCAGCCTCCCGAGTAGCTGGGACTACAGGCGCCTGCCACCACGCCCGGCTACTTTTCTGTATTTTTAGTGGATACGGGGTTTCACCGTGTTAGCCAGGATGGTCTCGATCTCCTGACCTCGTGATCCGCCCGCCTCGGCCTCCCAAAGTGCTGGGATTACAGGCGTGAGACACCGCGCCAGCGGAAGAACATTTAACATGACGACTCTGGCACCCACTCTAAGTTTAGATAACTGTTTCAAGGACAATAGGTGCTGTGGCAGGACGCCCGGTGTATGTCAATACAGATTCGATTCTTTTCATCAAAAGGAAATGTGGAGAATAAAAATTTGAAGAAATAATGATGTCACGCCTGTATCAGAACATCTCAAGTACCCCATAAACATACACCTCCTGTGCACACACAAAGATTTTTTTAAAATTGGAGGAACAAAAGCACTATGTCAATACCACAGTGAGGGGAGAGAAATGTAAGAATAGAAGCATTCCCTAGGCTTTACGCTTCGATCTTTGTTTGGCAGGTTCTGCCCACACGCATGTGTTCATTTCTCCAATGTGATAGGCATAAGATACCAGAAAAGGGACATGTAGCTGTGAAAACACCAAAACAGGGAGAACTGATAGTAAATGACTATGTGTGAATGGACCAGCAAATCCAAAAAATCCCAATACAGAAAACCGAGTGGGGAACAGGGTGCACCTAGAGAAAGAAAGATAAACACACCCCAAAGGGACGACAAGCAAATAAAATATCAAAGACATCACACTTTCTTGCACCACCAAGAGGCTCCCCTAAAATAACAAGTCCATTTGTCATGTTTCTTGTCTCGTTCACTTAACTATCAGGAGATAAGGTTTAAATCTCTTTTTGTTTGCTGTGCCCCCCTCCATCCTCCATCCCGCAAATAGAACTCTACTGCAGGAAAGCAAATAAATTGAATTTTACAAAATTACAGTGTGGACAGAAGTGAGATAATGCATTGTTCCACAAACCCAAAATCAGAACTAAGGTGTCTTCTGAAGCCTGGAAGAAGTAGCTGATTAAATAAATGAAGAGGCCAGGTGGTTCACACCTATAATCCCAGCACTTTGGGAGGCTGAGGCATGACAATTGCTTTAGTCCAGGAGTTCAAGAGCAGCCTGGGCAACATAGTGAGACTCTCTCCTTGAAGAAAAAAAAAAATTAGCCAGGCATGGTGGCACAGACCTGTAGTCCTAGCTACTGGGGAGGCTGAGGCGGGAAGATCACTTTAGCCTGTGGGGTCGAGGCTGCAGTAAGCAGTGATCGTTCCACTGCATCCAGCCTGGGCAACAGAGCAAGACCTTGTCTCAAAAATGAAATATTTATTTAAATAGAGATAGTATTAGTATTTTATAAGTCAGTAAACATGCTGTTCTCTTTGCCTCCCATGCCCCCACCAGGTAAAGGAGATGACAAATTAAAAGGTGACATAAATGTATACATTTATATACATTCATATATATACGTGAGGTATGCATTAACAGTGCTGGCTGGTATGATGATATGGAGTTGGAGGCAATCAAGGTGTCAGCTCTAGAGAAAGTGGTAAGGACAGTGTGGTAGACACACACTATAGAATACAAGGCAGCAGTCAGAAGCAATGAACTAGATGTTGCTAGATGTGGAGTAAAAAAATGTTGAATGAAAAATGAAACTGAGAAGAACTATAGCACAATATCATGTACATTCAGTTAAGCATAAATTAAAAACATACCACATGCAAAGCACTACACAATTTTCTCAGGCTATAGATTTAAAGATGTGTCAAACACAACAGATTGAGTCCTTGTGTGGGGAGAATGGTAGAAAACAGGATGAAGGAGCAAAATTAATACCAAGGAGCCCTCATTATTGGATAATAGGGAACCTGGACACTAATGGGATATAATTAATTCAACTCTGCATCCAAAGTTTAAAGAAAAAGACCTATGTCTAGTAAATGAGGTCCGGTTAATACACCGTGAGGGCAACCACATTCTCCTGGCATGCTCGAACCCACTACTCAGAATACTGCACTGACTAAATCTCACCATGCCTTACTCAGTGTGGCGTGTTCACTCTGTAAAAGAGAACTTTAAACACTAACTCTGTGCCAGGGACTCAATGACTGTCTGGTCCTTTAGCAGATTTCTTTAACCCCAACAACCTGTGAGATAATAAAACCTCCATTTTATAGATTTAAAAAGCCAAGTCACTTTTCCAAGGTCACAAAGATAACTCAAATGGATTTGAACTTCATGTTTAGCTTCGTTTTCAATATATTAGTGCCTTCCTCTAAGCCACCTAAACTGAGAATTTCTCCCGAGATTTGACCCTGAGGTAGCCTTTCTAAAATGATACCTAAGCATTTTACCTTTACTTTCGTCCTAGAGTAACTGCACCACTGGAAACGGCATCAGAGTACATAGCAGTCACTCTGTGCATTCCCATTTAGAAATAGAAAACCTTTACGGCAAGCTATGGATGTGCTTTTTAACTTAGCCTGGATTTAATGCAAGTGCCCAGAGATATTCACTACCTCCTGTGCCACGATACATTCCATAAGCGACATTCAACTTTGCCCCTACATAAGCCTTCAAGCCCCCTTACATAGGTCCCAGTGCCATGACATGGTGAGTTCCTTGGAAAGTTAGTAAGTTTGGGGCACACAAGTCATTCCTGATTCCTCACATTACTCTGAAAACCATAAATCATTTAAAGTTGAGGCGATGAAGCAACTGTCAGGCAGCAGTGCAAGTTCCAGGGTCCAGTAGACACAGGACTTACCTTGTGAAAACATAACCTTTCAACACTATTCAAAAATGACATCTGAAAACTCATATGATTCTAACTTTTATTATTAGGTCAGAACCAATGAAGTAGCAGCAAAAGGGTCTCTCCTATGATCTGGCTTTCACTGGTCCTCAGGGCAAGGAGGAAACTTGGGCAGGAGATGATCGCTCAATCCCAGCAGACTCTCAGAACCTCACTTGGACCCGAAAGTGCATCTGCTTGGTGGCATTGTTCTTCATTCCTGTCTTCAGCATCCATTTTGATTTCATCCTTTGGACATACTGCATGTCTCGCTCTCGCATAAGAGCCGCTCCTATGATTGGAAGGCGGTTAAGAAATTAGGCAAAGGTCTGTTATTTGTGATCAGAGAAAAATCCAACCTTGGCAGAGAATTCAAAAGGTTAGTTTGGGGTAACTGGGTTCTTGTATTTAAAACAGAGTTGCTAACTTGGGGTCTCTAAACCATGGGCCTCAAGGGTCTCTGTGGACCCCAGAATTGCATACCAGAACTTTTGTATATATACATTTCTCTGGGATTAGCATCTTCAGTTTTCATTATCTGGAAGCATCTATAAGCCCAAAAGGTGAAGCCCCATTAATCAGAAAGGCAGAAGCTATTAATTGAGTCAGACAATACTTCCTGATAAGAGTAAGATGAAGTCAAGTCTCTGCCAGATTCAAGCGGCCACACAGCTCACAAGTAGCCACAATGAAGGAAACTACATATAAACACAGTGGCATTTCAAATGGATTTTAGTCGCCTAGAGCTTCCCAGGCCATCAGAAAGCAGCCCTCCTCTTTTCTCCATAGTCCCCTAGTTGGATAGATGCTTTCCCTGAAGATCTAAGGATATAACCAGCTTCATCCAGCAGACACATCAGAATAGATGTAAAGAGTATTATATTGTTGAGGTTTCAAAGCTCAGCAATTGCAGTGGCATGCTTTACTCTTCTAACTTTTGCTAAATATTCTATGGGAAAAATACAAAAAAGGGGACTGACGGCTAACCTTGACGATGAGCATGCACTATATCACACATGCATGACATTCAACCCACTCAACTCTAAGAGGTAGGTCTTATTACTATCATCTCTGTTTTATAAATGAGGAAACAGAAGCTTATATTAATTAAACTACTCATGCTTATCATATAAGAACCTCTAAGTATATCACATAAGTCACGTTTGACTCCACAGCTCAAGCTATTAACCACTAGGATACTGTCTGATTCCTCTGCGTAACCTCCAGGATAATTTCAACCTTTGGTGATTACTAAATAATTCTTTTTGTAACTATTATCTTCTGAAAAAGTTAATGGTATATAAAATTGCTGTGCCAGGAATATGAAATTTCTAAGTCATAGCACTTTGGGCTTATTGCCTTAAACATATCAAGTGGTAATGGAAGTCCCTGGAGCCAAGAGGTTAAATTTCCCCCAGAGAGGATCCACAAGGACAACATAAATGGGAACAACTTTCCCCAGACCCCTGCTAGAAATACAAGTTCTTAGACTGGTCTGCAGTTGTAAAGATCAATGTACCTGTGCTGCCAGTCCATCCCAGGGCTCTGTACTGCTGAAGTACTCGGCCCACGGCCTTCCGATTTTTGGCAACTGCCACAGCTCTGGACAAGCCAAATCGCTGTTTGTAGTATCTCATCAAGGAGCGATGACCCACTCTGGCACCTGTTTTTCCAAAGAGCAATACTGAAACAATGAGTTGGATAGCTTTTTCAAGGTAGAGCTATAAAGCAAGGGCTTTCCAAATCAGATCTTTTAGTATATCTAGATGGAAAATCGATGTACCAGAAGAAACAGTTGTTCTACCTACTAAAGAAAGATGAAGCAGCATGTAAAATAAAAATGAAAAAGTGAAAGAAAGAAAGCATGCAAGAAAAAGAAAACCAAACAATAGATTTTTTAAAAAGAGAATGGCAAGTCACTGTTAAGTGAAAAACTTAGCATTGTGTACTTACTTGCATACAATCCCCAAAAATACACATAGAAACCCCTACTAATACAGATAATAGGGCCCTAGGAGATAAGAGATTTTTAGCATTTTATATATATAAATAAATAAAAATTATACATATATATGGGAAGATTAAGCACAGAGAGCAGTTCTGATGTTTGGGTCTACAGGCCACAGTCAGGATCTAAAATAGAAATCAATCCACCTTTCCTTTGCTTAAATTCTCTGTTGCAGTGATTCTCCAATGGAGATTTTACCCAGCAAGGGACATTTGGCACTGATTGAAGACATTTTTGGTTGTTACAGCTAGAGGTTACTACTGGTACCTAGAGGGTAGAGGCCAGAGATGCTATTAAACATCTTTAAATGCACAGGACAGCCCCCATAACAAAAAATTATCTAGTCCAAAATGTCAATGGTGCCAAGGCTGAGTAACCCTGACCTATTGCTTCCTAAATGATGGAAATCACCTGGTCAATTTGAATTTTAAAAGATGATTAAGCTGAATGCTGTCTATAGCTTTTGCTTATTTAGTAGGATCTGGTAAAACTATGTGAGTCAATCATGCTTTCAGAAACGAATTTCTAAATTTAATTTTCAAAGTATGCTCATGTCATTACAACATATGATTGTATATCTCATTATCTCATAGGCCCACTAACTTGTAACAGAGTGAGAAAAAAGAAAACAGACTCTGCATATTTCAAATAAAAAAACTATGGGACAAAGGTATTGGCCACCAGTTGGAAATTCTGTAGCTAGAATAATAAAAACCTGAGGTAAGTAAAGGTATCTACTGGAAGAACAATTCAAGGTTCCTATTTAAGGGTGAGGCACATCTGATATATTAATCTAGGGGTGGCAAACTACAGCCAGAGAACCCAATCTTGCCAATCACCTGTTTTAGTTTGTTCTACTGCCACACAGCCATGCTCAACTGTGTAGGTATCGTCTCTCGCTGCTTTGGTGCTTGCTACAACAGCAGAGGTGGGAAGCTACTGCAGAGACAGAATGGTACACAAAGCCTTAACGATCACCTCTGGCCCTTTTCAGGGAAAATGTCCCAACCCCTGTGTCATAAGTTCAGGGGAGATGACCTGAAGGGGGCTGGGTTTAGAGATGACTAATTCCAGGCTCCTTTATAGCAGTGCCTCTCCAAAGGTGGTCCCTAGGCCAGTGTCATCAGCATTACCTAAAAGCTTACTAAATACACGCTATCCTTTCACAAGAATATTAATTAGGACAAAAGCAATCAAATATCTTCCCAGACAGACACAACCATGCAGATATTTAACAACAGCATATACATAAGGCACGATAAAAGCCATTTCCACTGAAAATGAATAAAGGATATTTGGCTAGGTAGAACCCTGTGTACAGTTTCCAGGAAAGGTTTGTATTTACTTATGTAAAGCCATTGCTTTCAGAATCTTTTGTGTAAAACGACCATGAACCAGATACTATAAATATTGTGGAAGTCTGTATTTGCTTTTAGGATCCAGACTTTTAATTTGCATAAGAAAATTACTTTGGTTGTTTTAAGTCCCTATACCTGCCAAAACAACTGGAAAATAATTTGTTTGCTACACAGATATGCAAAAGTAGTTACTTTCAGTTGCTTGTTTTGTTATCATACTCAAGAGATGACAAAAAGAACCTTTTGATTCAAAGACATGGTCTTTGGATACCAGTGTGGATAAAAACATTTTCCCTAAACCTGAAAGTTTTGACAGCGTAACAGTTAACAAAGCTCTTAGACCACAAGAAATCAGTGAGATGTAGTTGACAGATAAAACCGCAAGCTTAAATGGAGGGTCTACAGGAAATTCCAGCATTGTTTGCTGTGATGTTCTATTTATAATGTTAGGTCTGGACACTCCAGGTTTGCAAGGTGATAATGTTGGTCATTAATACATAAGAATTTAATATATTTATATTCTTAAGCAACATGTGGAAATACATCCTACAGAAGGTTGGCCTTTTAAAGCGTCCTTGAAATGGCTTCATTACTCAATGCCAAGGTTTCCAACAGTTGGTAAGAAGGAACTGAAAACAGCATTCAGAGCTACCCCTGCCCTATGCCAATGACAGTAACCACCTGATATTAGCACTAAGTATGATGAGCTAAGGACAGCTACACTTGAAGGCCCTCATCAAGGAAAAATATTTTCCAGAACACAGTGTGACTGCCCAATAAATAAGGGATTGGTTATGTCTAAGTCATGGTGAAGCACGCAACCTGTCCATCTAGCTTTTGACACAGCAGTAACGACTTACGGACTGTCCACTCCTTTTTTTCTTTTTTCTGTTTTTTGGAGACAGGGTATTGTTCTATCACCCAGGCTGGAGTGCAGTAGCATGATCATGACTCACTGCAGCCTTGACTCTTGACTTCCTGGGCTCAAGTGATCCTCCTGCCTTAGCTGAGACTATAGGCACACACCATCACACCAGGCTAATGTTCACTCCTTCTTAACAAACAGCCTTACAATTTCTGCCATCCAATTGAATGGGCCTTTCATACCAACTTACTCCATAAGAGCTGAAGAGCAACGAAGGAAACCCAAAAAAAACCTTCAAGACCACAATCTTCAAAATAAATGCTCACAGTGCCCTCTAGTGGCTACTTTTTGTCATTGGCTTTGAGATAGCCTGCTTGATTTTATTGAAGTCCAATCTGAGCAACTAGATTTAGTGTCCCAGCAGCAGGGGAGAGACTCTTGTTACCCAGTAAATGGACAGGAGATGAGTTCAGGAAGCCTTCCCAGACGGTTGAATCTAGATAAGTTGAATCTTACAAGAAAAGTAGGAATAACAGAGGTTCCACACATGCAAATGCCCAGAGGAAGAAAACTCTATGTGGGTGGATAGAGGAATAGCACTACACACCTGAGGGACCAGTAGAGAGAAATTCAAAGTTACCCTAAAGGCAATGGCTCCCAGGGGAGGAACTACAGAGGGTAAAGAAAATCTACTGGTGTTTTAGAAAGAATGTTTTGGTGGTCATGTGGAAACCAGATAAGAGATGACCAGACAGGAGGAATGGTGACACAGACAAATGAATACAAAAAAATACTGAAAAGACATTTAGGAGTTACTAAGCCATCTGGATATGGGAGAGGAAGACCTCTCCAATATCTTTCTAAGGCTAGCCAAAGCCAAAAATGGGCTTGGCTTTGGCAGTCAAAATGAGTATCTTTTTAGATACCTTAAAAAACTCAATCACCCAGGACAAAGCTGAGGATTCTTTATTTTTTATAAGTTTCAAAAATTTAAAGTCTAGATGAAAACTTCTCTGAAACATCCTAGATTTCTTAAATAGATATGCTCATGTTATGCTAAGTTTTGTAATATATTGTGCTAAAGTAGATGCTAAATAAAGCAAACACTACGATGATCCTACTACATGGTAGACACTGTTGTACTAGGATTGTCTTATTCAATTTATTTAAGGTCTATGGTTATCTGATTCTACCGTTTAAGAAGCAGAAGCTAAGGAGACAACAAGGTAAACATATAGTTCTGGAAAATAAATTATTAAACATATTTCTGATGTTCTCTATGGGTACTGTCACCAGAGAAAGACTAGAAAAGGTTCTCTGGGATTTACGTTTTACCATTGTGTATTAGATAGGCCATGATAATATATTGCATTATAACCTTCTTATCACGGTAGGAAGAACTGTCATCTTCAAAATAGGTTCTGCCTGACCTTTCCTCCTACTGCCACACTCTAAAGCTGCTCTTGGCCTTACAAGGTTATCATTCTGAGCTAAAGATAGCCATCTGTACCTAAGCAGTGACATTCTGTGTGGAAAGGCGTAAGACAAGGCTGCTTCATTGCAGACCTCTCCACCAGCAGGGTATGTTGTTCCTGCCTGCACCATTACTGCAAATCTCCCGAAGTAGTATACGGATATTGGAAAAAGGCTTTACTGATTAGGTATGTGATCCTGGTAAGTTACTCAGCCTCTCTAAGCTTCATATGCAAAATGAAGATGCTGGAATCTAACTCAATGTTGGCCTATAAAGACAAATACATCTGCCTGAATGTGCTAACTGCTCAGTAAATACCAGATATTAAGATCTTATTATCATCTCTACCTTTCCATCCCCTTTCATTTCTGAAACATGTCTTCTGTAGCTTCTCCTATTCTTATCAGTTAATCACGATTCTTTCTTCCTACACAATAAACAACCATGTATGCTTCTCACATTCATGGTTATTCTTCTTTTCACACCTCATGGTGGATAAATTTCCACCGTGAGTCAGATACACCCACACCAATCATTTGGAAGTCTGAGCAACAAAAGGAAACAGGAATCAGTTCAAAGAATAACAGTTACAATTAACAAGAGAAACCTAGACAGGACCAAAAAAAATAGATAAAGACAGAATAGGAAAAGTCTACATCTAAAAAAAAAAAAAAAAAAAAGAAAAGAAAAGAAATGCCTGCTCAAACATTCTGAGTCATAACCCAGAAATGAACAAAAACACTGATCAAATTTAAACAAAACAGCCAACTTAGAGCTGAGCAGCAACCTTCAGGGTTTACACTGTACGTGAAAACCCAAACATATACCTTAAGCTTTATGGTCTATTTCCCTCAGTATGGAAGGTAATTGATGGAGATATGCTTCTCCCTCAGTCCCACTGGCATTAAGCTGTTTATTTTTGACAAATGCACTTACCAGAAGGCAGAATCAATTCCATGGTTTCATCATCATATTCCAAGTTCTTTTCTGAGGGCAACTCTTCAGCCTCACTGGGGTCCTTCCCTTCCTTGTGATCTGGGTAGCTACTCCTGTAACAAAGAAGTTGCACTAATAAATAGACTGATACCACAAATGGAACTAAAAGACATAAACTTTATTTGCAAATGTGGCAAACTTCCTAAGCTACCTAAAAGGGAGAGGGCAGGAAGCAGCTGTAGGAACTACCAGCTAAAAGGTTTTGGGAGAAAACAACTCATTAGCATTTTGTCTGTAGTAGAAGTGAGCAAATGACCTATAACAGAATTCTATTTGTTTTTCCCTAGAAAGGCTGCCTAACAGAGAAGAAAAGAAGGAGAACGTACAGCTGGACATGCAGCTATACTCAATTTAACCATTATAAAAACAACTTATAGCACAGTGCTGTCCAACAGAACTCTGTGACGACAGAAAATGTTCTATCAATATGTCTTTGTGTCTGATACAGTAACTGCAGTCACATGAGCTTTTCAGCACTGAACTTTGAAATGCAGGTAGTCTGACTGAAGAACTGAATGTTTAAATTTTTAATTAAACTTTCCATTTATTTAAATAGCTATATGGGTATACCTAGTAATTACTATATTGGACAGTGCAGGTCCAGAAGAATCTCCATATTCCTAAAAATGTTGACAAATGCTATTCATAGATACACATGAAAAATAATAGGAAGAGTGTACATTAAATTATTAACAGTAAACCACACAACCTAATAAGAAAATAGGCAAATACTTGATCAGATACCTCACAAAAAGATATCCAAATGGCCAATGAATACATAAAAAGGCTCTTGATTGCACTAATCATCATCAGGGAGATGCAAATTAAAGCCACTACACACCCACCAAAGTTGCTAAAATGAAAAACTCTCCCTCACTACAAGTGGAAGTATAGAAAACCACTTTGGAAAACAATTTGACAGTATTTTCTAAAATTGAACATATGTATATCCTCTGGCCCAACTCCTACATATACGAACAAAAGATAACCTATAAACGTTTGCCAAAGACACACTAGAATGATGTGGCAGCACTGCTTGTAATAGCCCCAAACTAGAAACCACTCAAATGTGTATTAGCCTTAGACTAGATGTTGTGGAGCACTGAACAGAACACTCTGTAACAATAAGAACTCTCTCCAACTATATAAAATAGTATGGATGGGTCTCCCAAACAGAAAGTTAAGCAAAAGAAGTCAGACCCAAGAGTACATTCTTTGTGATTCCATTTACATATAAAGTACAAAAACAGGCAAAATCAATCTATGCAGCTATAAGTCAGAATAGTAGTTACCCCTGGAGAAAGGAGGGGTAGTTTCTGGAAGGACACACAAGGCAAATGTCAGGGGATTATTAACATGCTGTTTGTTGATCTAGGTACTAGTTATATTTAAAATTTCACTAAACTGAGTCATGACATCACAAGTACGGTCATCCCTTGGTATCCATGGGGGATTGGTTCCAGGACCTCCCTAGGATACTAAAATTTGCAGATGTTCGAGTCGCTGATATAAAATGGTATAACATTTGCATATAACCTAAATCATTACATGCTTTAAATCATCTCTATATTACTTATAATACCTAAAACATGGTAAATGCTATGTAAATAGTTGTTACACAGTACTGTTTAGGGAATAATAACAAGAAAAATAAGTCTGTGGATGTTAGTATGGACAAAATTTTTTTTGAACACTGTAGTTTGGATGCACAGATGGAGAACCTATGACTACAGAGGGCCAGTTGTATACATATATGTACTTTTCTGTAAGTTTATTCTTCAATAAAAAGTTTCAGGTCCAAAATAAGTAAACAAGTTACCTTGTGAAGGGGAGTGAAATTATAGGTAATTTGTCATTTTTTAGCTGAGTGAATCCACATAAAATGCTTATTAGAACAGTGTCTGGCAGGTAAGCACTCCATAAACACCAGCTTTGTATGTAAAAGCTTTCTATTTTCCAAGTTTTCTTTACTAAGCATTATCACCTTTTTTTTCTCCCCCCAGAGACAGGGTCTCACTATGTCACCGAGGCTGGCCTGAAACTCCTGGCTTCTGGTGATCCTCTTACCTCAGCCTCCCGAGCAGCTGGGACTACAGGCTCATGCCACCACACTTGGCTAACTTTTATTTTTTTAAGGAAAACAAATCATTTAATATTCATTTTTAGGAAGAAAGGCTCACATAATTTCTCATTTCTAGGCACCAACAGAATAAAACTGTAAATGGAATGAAAAATACATCATTTGGACTAAGGGAGAACCAGTTGCATCAGTTACATATTTTAATTCAAACTAATGGTTAAGCAACACCCAGTAAAGAACAACAGTAACAACAACAAAAGGCTAGGGCTTGAAGCTTAGAGTCTAGAAGGAGGAGACAATAAACAAATAATATACAATACACACAATGGCAGTAGGGAATATAAGGAAAAATAAAACAGGATCAAAAGGATTGGGTAGGTGTTATTTTACGGAAGGTGGTCAAAAAAGGCCACATTGAGAAGGTGAAATTTATGTCAATGCCTGCAAGAAGTGAGGGACAAGTCAAGTGAATATCTGAGCGAATACTATAAACAAATACAGCAGCCAATGCAAAGGTCCTGAGAAACACACTTGATGCATTAGAGAAAGAGTTAGGAATCCAGAGAGCAACTAATACAACACAACAGACCCACAGAGGCTCCAGATCATGTGCAGGGCCTTGCAGGACATTATACTTTGGCTTTTACTTTGAGTAAGATAGGTAGTCTTTGAAAGAATCTGAGCAGAGTTTGACCTCACTTAGTGTTTTAAAAGGATCCCCTTAGTTACAGTTTTGAGAATAGAACATGGCGGGTAGTAAGAATGTAAACAGGAGGCTACTGTAGGAAGTCAGGCAAAAGAGGATGGTGCCCTGGACCTGGGTAGGAGCAGTAGAAGTAGTGAGAAGCAGTCAGCCTCTGAAGACAGATAGTGCAAAAGTAGTTAAAGCAGGATTTGGTGATAGATTCTAAAGTAAACATGAAAGAAAACAGAAGAATAAAGGAAGACTACCTGGCATTTGGCTTAAGTAACTAGAAGGACAGAGATGCCATTTACTTACAGGGAGCAGATTAGGATGCATAGCAGGAGTTGATTTTGGACAGGTTAACGATCCCTTTTAGACACAAGTAGAAATATCAAGGAGGTGGCTGGATATCTTCAGTCTATAGCTAAGGGGAAGGCTATACTAGAGATATAAATGTGGGGGTCACGGGCCTGCAGAAGATACTGAAATCTGTGAGACTGGGTAGGATCCTGAATATAACCACAGGATGACAGACTGAGTGCTGGGCATTCCAAGCCTACTGCTGATGGCAGCTGCTTGACTCTATCCATGGTATTTGCTTTGACCACTCTGATGACAACATCAGTCAAAAGGTTATAAACATTGGTGTCTAAAAGGAAACTTGAGAGGGATAAATACTGAAAGAGGATGCTTCCCACCACCAGCAGAATTCATTGTCTTCTCTACTGCCACAGCCTCTAATCCTCCCCTCTCCCTCCTCCCAGTCATGTCCACCAACTGCAAGTCTCCAACTGCAAAATGGGAAATCAGGAAGAAAATGCAAAAGCAAGACTTAAAAGACTGAGACTTTTCTGAACATTGTATCACTTGGACTATGCACACCTGGCATGGTAATTATACACATCTGCTTATCTCCTGTGCTAGCTCACAGGAATTTTGACAACTAGTTGTTCACAAGTACTTAACATACATTTGCTAAATGACATACAAATTATTCAAGATTCTAGTTAGGGCCAGGCATGGTATCTCACACGTGTAATCCCAGGCTACGGCAGGTAGATCACTTGGGCCCAGGAGTTCAAGACCAACCTGGGTAACACGGCGAAACCCCATCTCTACAAAAAAATACAAAAATTAGCAGGGCATAGTGGTGCACACTAGCTGCTGGGGAGGCTGTGGTGGGAGGATCACCTGAGCCCAGGGCAGCTGAGGCTGCAGTAGACCGTGATCGTGCCACTGTCCTGCAGCCTGGGTGACAGCAAAAATCTTTCTCAGAAAAAAAAAAACCAGATTCTAGTTAGGAGTGAACCACCAATGGGATAATCTCACCATCAGATGCCTGGTTTGGGACTGGTTTAGCAACTGTCTCAACTCCTTCAGGGGACAGCTGGTGATCAAGGACTCTCCAAGAACCCAATATGTGAAACCTAATTTCTGTACCTCTGTTCAAGGGGCAAAACTGAACTGTTGATGATTTAACCAGAACAAAAAGAAAAACAAGTCAAACTTCAGTTTGGGTCTAAGGTCTTCTCTTTACTAGATGTGTTAAACTCTGTGAAACTGAGTTTCTCAACTAAAAGAAAGAACTGCTTAATACAGAGGTGTTATAAGTGTTATTAAGGATACATTGCACAGTGCCAAACACATATCCAGCACTGGCACACACAATATCAATGCAAAGCAAATATGACTTCACTTCACTTCATGTTACAAATTATGCTTACCTAAAATCATAGAAGTCTGCAAATTCCAAAGCAGCATCGCCATCTGTGAAGAGCTTACAGTGGCTTTTGTCATTCATATGCGCCTGTACAGCTTCTGTGGAGTAGAAGGACTTCCCTTTCTCATTGCACCACAAGCAAATCTTTCCAACACCAACTTTCTCTCCTAGAAAAATAATTTAAGGAAAAAATATGAAAAAAGCTTTTTGCAACCAATTAAATCTCACTATTTGTCACAACTCAAAAATCACTCACAAAATAAGTGAGCAATTATATCAAAGATTGATGAAAACCGCAAAACTAATGTTCCCTTGAGACCAGTCCCCCAATAATGTGATTATTTCCTCATTAAAAGAAAAACTATTGTACTTACCCAAGTATTTAATCAGTCCCTTAATATCTGAAAGATATTCTATATCAGGAATAAAGAAACTGTGGACTTTGGTCATATGAGCCACATTCTTCATGAGCGAGCTGGAATGATGGGAACAAAATAAGCAGTCCCTAATAGGGATGGCACCAAGGGGTGGGCCTTCCTCAGCCACTTCCTCCTCTGCATCCTGCTCCACCCCATCCTCCATTGCTTCAGTATCCTCACATTCCAATTCTTCGTCAGAATCAATATCTTCCCAATCTGCAAGCCAGAATTTTGAAATAGTAAGTTTAAGAAAAGTAATAGCAAGCAAAGATATCACATGCGGTGATACAGTCCTATATTTGGAGAAACAGCCATACCCCCAACTCCCAAGGACAACTCCTCTTTCAAGATCTCAATTTTAGCTATTTGTTTACCAGACTCATCTGAATGCCTGTGAAATTCCTTAGTCTTTCTTTTCCAGGAAATAGGAGTCTTTTGTTTGTTTCCTTCCTATGCCTTAGAGCACCTAGCCCAGTGCTGAACATAGTTAGGGAGTCTCCTATCTGGGTGAATATATATATATACATTTGTGTGTGTGTGCGTGTGTGTGTGTGTGTGAGACGGAGTCTCGCTCTGTCACCCAGGCTGGAGTGCAGTGGCGCCATCTTGGCTCACTGCAAGCTCCGCCTCCCGGGTTCACGCCATTCTCCTGCCTCAGCCTCCGGAGTAGCTGGCACTACAGGCGCCCGCCACCACGCCCAGCTAATTTTTTGTATTTTTAGTAGACATGGGGTTTCACCATAGCTTGATCTCCTGGCCTCGTGATCCGTCTGCCTCGGCCTCCCAAAATGCTGGGATTACAGGCGTGAGCTCTGGCTGCATATTTTTATAAACTGCTAAAACAATGCCTCTATCTACTATTTCACAAAAGTACTGTGGGGTGTGTGTATGTGCTGGTGGGGTGCTCTATGAACGGCCATGGTTTGAATGCATGTTTCCCTCCCAAAATTCAAATGTTGAAACTTAATCATCAATGAAATGGCACTAAGAGGTGGGGCCTTTAGGAGGTGATTAAGTGAGGCGAGCACTAATCCCGAATGAATGGATTAGTGCCAGGGAACTAGCCCGTCTTTGCCTTCTGCTTCTTCCACATGATACCATGAGAAAACTTCATCTATAGAACAGGCCCTCACCAGACACTGACTCTGCCAGCACCTTGATTTTGGACTTCCCAATTTGCAGAACTATGGGAAAATACATTTATGTTATTCATAAATTACCCAGTCTCTGGTACTTCGTTATAGCAGAGCGAACAGACAAAGACATGAACACCTACACCAGCACTGTTAATAGGATGTGGGATGAGGGAAAGAAGGAATAAATAACTCAGAAAGTCAAAGAGGTGAGGCTGCTGGCTCCAGCTCCACATTTCTGGCTGAGTTGATTTTGATCCCCTCATTCTGTTTTACTCAACTAAAGTAAGTGCAAAACCATCATAACTGGAAACCCACTAGAACAGCAAATAACACGGCGGCTGGTATGACGATGTCCTCCTGTGCGCATGTTAAAAGTTTCCTCATGCAGGCCGGGCGCGGTGGCTCAAGCCTGTAATCCCAGCACTTTGGGAGACCGATACGGGTGGATCACGAGGTCAGGAGATCGAGACCATCCTGGCTAACACGGTGAAACTCCGTCTCTACTAAAAAATACAAAAAAGCTAGCCGGGCGAGGTGGCGGGCGCCTGTAGTCCCAGCTACTCGGGAGGCTGAGGCAGGAGAATGGCGTAAACCCGGGAGGCGGAGCTTGCAGTGAGCCGAGATCCGGCCACTGCACTCCAGCCTGGGCGGCAGAGCGAGACTCCGTTTAAAAAAAAAAAAAAAGTTTCCTCATCCAAAACAGAGAAGGCATCAATTCATTCTCCAAATATGCATTAGGCACTTCTTCTTTTTCCAGACAAGGTTTTAGGCCTTCGAGAATGTATTGAGTGAACTAAACAGCCGAACCTGCTGGCCAGATAAGGCACTTCAGAAAGCATCTAAACCACCTTCCCTCATCATTTTTACTTAAAAGCTCTCAAACACACAAACACACACACCCATCTCGAGTATAAATCTGAAAACTAAAGGGGGGCCAAGTTCCTCTTTACCCTCCCCGCCCAGACAGGGCCATCACCGTCTCCATCCAGGTCCTCTTCCTCCTCACTGCCCTCCTCCTGCTGCTTTGCCAACTTCTTCGCCTGCTGTTCAAACCACTGGAGCCGGGGTGGTTTCTCGCTCGGGTCTCGGTCGTGGGTCCCACGGCCACCAGTCCCCACGGCTACGGCACTCCTGGCCTCCTCTGCAGGCGCTGGGGGCGCCTTCTTGGGAGACAAGGACGGCTGGGCCTTGATGGCCTGCTGGATGGCGGCGTTCATGGCATCCTTGTTCACACTGTCCAAGCCCAGTCCTTTCTCCATGTTCTTTTCATTCATCATCTCCACTTTCCGATTCACGGCCTGCACGGCCTTCTTCTCCAGCTCAACGTGCCGCCGGGACTTGAGGTGGTTGTCGTAGGCGTTGAAAGATGCAAACTTCTTACTGCAAACAGTACAGTAGGTGGCCGAGCCCTTGCTCTCCTCCTCCGCTACGGCCCGCTGCGCCCGCACTCGCTCCTGGAAGCCCTCGGCGGTCACTGGGGCCATGCTGGCCACCTTACGCCGCAGGTTGTAGCGGTGCCAGTCCGTCTTATAGTGGGCCCGCTGCATGTCCGCGTCGCGGAACGCCACCCGGCAAGTTATGCAGGTGTACGTCGCCATTGCCAGGTGAGAACTAAGAGCCGACCACGCCAAACACCTGGTGACCAGCGCCCTGGCTCCACACGACCCTCAGACCTTAACCCGCCTCAGCGGCCTGGACGAGCCTCTCGGCACGCCGACTTCCTGATTGTCACTGAGGAAACTTCCGGCACACGTCAGAAGTTATTTACGACTGGACAGGAAACCCGCCTCTCAGGCTGTGGCCACGCCCCCGCCGCTGTGAGACCCGGGAAGCCTAGGGAACGCAGTGACTGAACCGGACCTGGGTCCCCTCAGTCAGCCCGAGGTGGGTGTTGCTTGAAGGAGGTCGCGCCCTCCCAGTTACCTTCTCTGGTGGTTGCGCCGCTCAGTGTGACGCGGTCAAAGAGACGGCTACGCGAGAATGGGGGAGTGGAGCGCCCGAGGCTGCTTCCGGGCCCTCGGAAGCCCCCGATTAATGAATGGTCGGGTCAGCGACGCCAGGGTCGGGGTTTCTCTGAGGACCGCGCGCTGCACCCGCGGAGCCGGGTGAATGGATGTCGCGAGGGCCAGGGCTGACCCTTAACCCTCGGGGCCAACCTCGGAGCCCTCGCCGGGGGCTGGACCGCTTCCCCGGGAAACCGGAGAGGCCGGGCGGGAGGCTCGGCCTGTCTGAGGCGGCCCTTCGGGCGGAGGACACCGGCGAAACTTGAGTGTACAGAGTGCCGGAGAGGAGCTCCCTGTAGACACACAGTCCGAGCCACGTAGGTAATTCTAGTAGTAGCCACATTTTTAAAGAGTAAAGAGAAATCGGTGAAACTGCTTTTAATGATGTATTTAATTTAGCCCATCCTGTCATTTCAGCATGTAATCAGTCTAAAAGAATTAATGAGATCTTTTACGCTCTGTGATTAGTTCTAAGTCTTGGAAATCCAGTGTGTGTTTTAGAGTTAACAGCCCATCTCAATATGGACTAGCCCCGTGTCAGGTGCCCAGTTGGTTGTGTAGCCTCATGTGTATCGGACAGCAAAGTTCTGCAGAAAAGAACTTCAGGCCAGGCGCGGTGGCTCACGTCTGTAATCCCAGCACTTTGGGAGGCCTAGGCAGGCGGATCATCTGAGGTCAGGGGTTCAAGACCAGCCTGGCCAACATGGCGAAACCCAGTCTCTGCTAAAAAAAATAGAAAAATTAGTCCTGGCGCAGTGGCGCAGACCTGTAATCTCAGCTACTTGGGAGGTTGAGGCAGGAGAATCGCTTGAGCCCGGGGGGCTCGGGGGCGGAGGTTGTGGTGAGCCGAGATCGGGCCACTGCACTGCAGCCTGGGCGACAGAGCAAGATTCCGTCCTAAAATAAAAAGAAAACATGAACTTCAAATGCTTGAGGAGGTCATAGATGTCATCCACACAGCCTGGTTGAACCCTTGTCAGCCTTGTTACAGAATCGAATGTTGCATGCTCAGAATCCAAGCTGCTAATAGAAAACCAAAAGAAGATGACGCTTTTAAAAAACCTTCCAGTGGCTTCCCTTGACTCAATCAAATTCAAACACCTTACTTTTTATTCTGCGAGGCTCTGCCCCTCCCTCTGATGTCCTGCCACACCCGCTTCTCTACCCTGCTCACCCTACTTGAGTCGCAGTGACACATTTGATGTTCTTCTGACAATCACGTTAGTTGGTACTGAGTCAGAAGTCCATTACTCTTCCGCTTGGAACATCCTTTTGCTGGCTTGCTCGCTTATTTTTTGGATCTCTGCCCAAATGCCTTTGTAAGAGAGGCTTATCCAAATCCACTTACCAAAAATAGTGCCTACCTTCCTAAGTCCTTACCAGGCATAACTTTTCTCTAGCACTGTATTAGTTATCTACTACTCTGTATTAAATTACCCCCAAATTTAGCATCAAGCTTTATTTCAGTTTCTGTATGTCAGGCATTTGAATGACTTAGCTGGGTGGTTCTAAGATCTGCTAAGAGGTTGCAGTGAACATGCTGTCCAGGGCTAAAGTCATCTGAAAGTCTGACTGTATTTGACTGTGGCTGGAGAATCTCCCTTAAAGATGGTTGATTTACATAGCTGATAGCAAGAGGTTTTGGTTCCTTGACAAGCAGGCTTCTCCATAGGGCTGCTTGAGTGTAGTGGAGAGCCACATGAAATTCATGAATTTCTTTCATGACCTAGCCTTGGAAGTCACACACAGTCGTTTCCACAATGTGTTGTTACTTATGCAGATCAGCCCTATTTAATGTGAGAAGGGTTTACATAAGGGCATGAATACCAGGAAGTGGGAAGTAGGGGGCAGGGTTGTTTTAGGTGATCATTGGGAGATCAGCTGCCAGTAGCATTTGTTGTTTGTCACTGATTTCCCAGGCTTAGCACTGGAAGTCCTGCATCCCGGGAAACCCCTCAATCCTGGGCAAACCAGGATGTCTAGTCACACTGCATGTTAGTCATCTGCGTCTAGATAGAACATAAGCTCCATGACAGCAAGCAACTCCTTTGTTGTATACTCTAATGCTAGAACAGTCCCAGCAGATCAACTGGTGAGTATTTGTTAAACAAATCTTTTGCAGTGCAAAAGTTAAGTCAGATGGTGATTTTTATTTATGAAAACTTATTTTGAGATTATCAGTATCTTTTAAAATAGCTGAGCCGTCTGGATACTCACTTTGAGAAATGTAGCTAGTATTAGTTGTTAACTGGAATAAGCAGAGTATATTTTCAAGCTTCCCTAAAAAGTAAAGCAGAAGATGGCTATAAAAGTAAAAAACTTCTGGTTTTACTTTTGCCTAGTATCATTCTTATATGACTCTTCCAGAATCTGTTCTTCAGGTCATTATTTCCTCCCTGCGTCCTCTAATCTATTTTCATGATTCTTCTATTTCAGCATCATTGAACTCTCCAGTTTTACTTTTCTTCTTTAAAGAGGTATTGTTTCCTCCGCCATACTAATTTTCCAATGTACTGTTCTGCAGTCTCCAAGATAACCTTACTCTTTCCCCATAGCCCCCCCTACAGTAAATACAAGTAATCAGTAATTTTCCTGTAGCATTTTTTTCATATGCCACTTTTTCTATTCAATAATAGTTGTCTGATGCCCATAAGATAAAGTTTAAATTCCTTTCGTATCTTTCCTTTCATGGCTTTCGTATCTCCCATAGTCTCTCCCACATGCTACGTATTTTTTGTAATATTCTACTGGTTCTAAATTAAAGCATTCCTACCCTCAAGAAGTTTTTTTTTTTAATGACTTCTTAGGGATGATAAAAAAAATATAGTTAACTAGCTGGATCTAGTACAATGAAATATAAAGAAAGGGCTAATGAGTATTTAGGATAGAGAAATCTCATGCCATTAGAGAGATCAGAAAAGTTTTCATTAAGGAGTAGACATTTCAGATGGGTCCTAAAGGAGAAGATGGAGGACTTTGCAAGTGGAAAAGGAGGTAGAACAGGTAGAAGAAATACTGTAGAGGGAGGAAAATCAAGGACATATTTAAGAAGAGTGTGTCTAGGTTGGATGAAGCTTAGGATACAAACAAGAGAAAATGAGACTAGAAAGAGCCACGATCTCATTGGCAAAAGACTTGGATTCTTGTGTTTACTGTTCATGCTTCATTTGTTGGAGAGTCACAAAATGTTTCAGCTTATATGGCATCAGGAATAGAAGTGGGCCTTGAGTGGATCCAGCAGCAGTATCTGGAACTAATTGGAGGAAAAAAAGAGTAGGTCTACAACCAATACCTCCTTGGTAAATGCAAGGGACTGTTGAGTAAAATCTCTGCAGCACATCCTCAGCACTCTTAATGTGTCTAACCTCTGCTGACAGTACTGCTATCAAAAAAAAATAAATACCAAATTGATCACTCTGAAGAATTTAAATGAAGATCACTGATATAGTTTGGATGTTGTCCCCACTCATATCTCAGGTCAAAATGTAATCCCAGTGTTGGAAGCAGGGCCTGGTGGGAGTGACTGGATCATGGGTGTGAATTTCTCTTGAATGGTTCAGCACCATCCCCTTGGTGCTGTTCCTGCGACAGTGAGTTCTCTCAAGGTGTGGTGGTTTATAAAAGTGTGTATCACCTCCCCGCTTGCTCTCTCTTGCTCCTGATTTTGGCATGTGAACTGCCTGCTCCCACTTTGCCTTCTGCTTTGAGTAAAAGCTCCCTGAGGTCTTTCCAGAAGCACAGGCCACCATGCTTCCTGTACAGCCTGCAGAACCCTGAACCAATTAAATCTCATATAAATTACCCAGTCTCAGGTATTTCTTTATAGCAATGTAAGAATGGACTAATACAACCACCTATGACAAAATTAGTGAAAGTATTGAAAATTAGAATTCCTTCTGTATATCATGACATAACCCTTAAAATAGTTCACGTAATTCTCAAACTACTAGAGTTATGGTGCACACTGTAACAGTGACAGTACACACAGTAACATGGTTCTTGTTTCAGTCTTGGAAGACTTTGGGATAATTTAAAATAAAAGCTAATAAAGTTGCCTTCAAGTCAATTTGTATGCCGGTCACAATATTCTCTTGTGACAAGTTTACTGCTATTCACATTCCTATATTGCAGTGGCACCTTGGTTTTTAAAAGGCAGGCTACAAAGGGGATTGAGTTGGTTGAGGGTAACCTTGGGTGGGGGTAACAAATATTGAAATATAAAAACTAACATACACTTATCACATAGTTTACAGTTTCTGTGAATTCTGTGTTCATGAAAACGTTAAGCCCTGTGAGAGATTTTCAGTCCCCAGTTGTTTTGGCTGTCTACATATGCAAAGACTTCTCTTAATTTAATAAGGAATTGAAATGTACAACAAAGTCTGTTTATCACAGCATTTAAAAATCAACTGGTTTCTGCAGTCTTTGAAAAAAAAATCTAAAATAAAATCAGTATTTAATACTTAGTGAAATTATTAAATTGCTTAAAATTATGATCAGTTAATGTATCAAAAAACAAAACCAATATACTAGTATGATACATTAGAAAGAGAATAGGCTTTGGGGTCAGGCTGACTTTTTCCTTGACTAGCTATGTGACCTTGGACAATTTATTTACCCTGTTCTTTGGCAAAATGTTCTTAATACCACTTAACTGTAGAGTCGTGAGCATTAAACAGGATCCTGTTTTCTATGTCTTAGACCAAGAGTTCGCATACTTTTCCCGTAAAGGGCCAGAGAGTAAATATGCTTTGTAAGCCTGGGTTCTCTGTCACAACTAATCAGCTTCATTGTTATAGCATAAAAGCAGCCATAGACAATACATACACAAATGAGCATAGCTGTGTTCTAATTAAACATTATTCACAGATGCTGAAAATTGATTTTCAT